GATAGCGATCCCATCTTTGGAGTCATTCGTGGTGCATACACCAACCATTGTGGTAGAACAGACTCCATCACCCGGCCTTTTGAAGGCGACCAGGCGACCGTATTCAATCGGATCATGCGATATGCTGGAGTCAACCCCCAAGACGTGGGTTACGTCGAAATGCACGGCACTGGAACCCAGGCCGGGGATGCCACAGAGATGAAGTCGGTCCTGTCTGTATTTGCGCCTAATATGCGCAGACAGAACCCCCTGTACTTGGGTACAGCAAAAGCTAATATGGGCCATGCCGAGTCTGCTTCTGGAGTTTCATCTTTGATAAAAGTGCTACTGATGATGCAAAATGATATGATCCCACCGCACTGTGGCATTAAGACCCGGATAAACCATACCTACCCAGTTGACCTAAAACAGCGCAACGTGCATATTCCATTCAAGCCTACACCTTGGCTTCGTGAACAGATGCCGCAATTCAAGCGAACGGTGTTCTTGAATAACTTCAGCGCAGCAGGAGGTAATACCGCTATGCTCGTCGAAGATGCGCCAATCCGAGAGAGCATGTTGGTTGCGGATCCCCGCTCCAAGCACGTAGTGACAGTGACAGCGAAAACCATCAAAGCTCTCAAGGGAAATATCAGTTCCCTAATAGCATATTTGGAGCAACACCCGGGTGTATCCTTGTCGTCTTTATCCTATACCACCACTGCCCGACGTATCCACCATAGCTATCGGGTCATAGTGTCCGGCTCTGATACAGGGGAATTTCTACACCGGATGCAAGAGATCTTGCCAGGCTTGGAGAGCCACAGACCAGTTCCTCCACCGGGAAAGCTGCCAAACATTGTTATGACGTTCACCGGACAGGGCACCCTCTATGTCGGTATGGGCAAACAGTTCTACGACACGGTACCCTCGTTCAGGGCGGACGTCACGCGATTCAATGAAATCGCAAGCCAAATGGGCTTTCCAAGCTTCTTGCCTCTTATTGATGGTACCATGATCAACCATCAGGAAGCATCGCCCACGGTAGCCCACCTCGCCTTGGTCTGCATTCAGATGGCACTATACAACTACTGGATGTCTCTAGGGGTAATTCCATCGGCAACTATTGGCCACAGCCTCGGCGAATACCCTGCACTGTATGCTTCGGGTGTTCTTACAGCTTCGAGTGTAATATATTTGGTGGGCGCTCGGGCTACCTTGCTGGCGGAGAAGACCACCCCACGGACCCATGCTATGCTGGCGGTAAAGGGGTCCGTAGATTGTATCCAGAGCGAGCTACAGAACACAGGGTGCGCTCTGGCTTGCCTGAACCAACCTTTTAGTAATGCTGTGAGCGGATCGATCAAAGAGTTGATGCAGTTGAAGGACTGGCTCACGTCTCGTGGCATTGAAAGTGTCCAGCTTGATATACCACATGCCTTTCACTCCGCACAAGTGGATCCGATTCTAGACGACTTCATGGCGATAGCTGCGGGTGTTCAGTATTGCGTTCCATCAATCCCATACATCTCACCTCTTCTAAGCAGGGTCATTCCAACTGGCGAGCCAAATGTTTTTGGAGCTTGCTATTTGAAAAATGCATGTCGTGAGCCAGTCAACTTCCAGGGTGCTGTTGAAGCAGCAGAGAAGACTGGTCTAGTCAACGAGAAAACCATATGGGTGGACATCGGCTCGCACCCGGCCTGCTCAGGCATGGTAAAGGGCATACTGGGTGCAAAAAGCGTTGCAATTGCATCGCTCCGGAAAGGCTCAGATTCCTGGAGTGTACTATCGGCAAGCCTGGAAGTCCTTTACTCCCATGGTATTGATATCCAGTGGGTCGAGTATCATCGCGGAATTGTTGGTGCTCGCGAGGTCCTCCAACTGCCGCGGTATGATTGGGATCTGAAAAATTATTGGATTCCATACAGGAACAACTTTTGTCTCTTGAAAGGTGAAGGCTTGGTTCCTGCGGGACAGCAAGGAGTGTCGCCGCATATGGAGTTTCCGCGCATTCCCCAGTATCTTTCTCCATCTGCCCAGAGAGTTCTCGAGCAGAATGACGGCCCAGAAACATCTACCCTCTTGGCTGAGTCAGATATTCACGACGCAAGGCTGGCGCCAATATTGGCAGGTCATGTTGTTAATGGCGCAATGCTATGTCCATCTGTAGGTAACCACGTAGCGTTATGTTTTTATATGCTGACATGGCCCAGTCACTCTATGCCGATATCGGTATAACTATCTCGAAGTACATGCTGGAGGCAATTGGAAAATACACCGATACAGTTGGACTAGATGTCGCTGACATGCAGGTGCAAAACCCATTGATTTCTCGACCAGACACTGAATCGCAAGTCTTCCATGTGTCTGCATCAGCAGACTGGAGAATAAATGACATTTCCTTCCGATTGTATAGTGTCAACGGCAACGGTAAAAAAACCGTTGAGCACGCTGCATATGTGGTGCACATCACCGAGCAAGTTCAGACATGGCTGACCGAATGGAAACGTCATGCACATTTGGTACGGAGTCGAATTGCCTCCCTGCATCGCAGCGCGGAAGAAGGCGACGCGCACAAACTCAAGCGACGTCTGGCATACCAGTTGTTTGCCACTCTCGTGCAATATGAGACCAGCTACCAAGGGATGCAAGAGGTTGTTTTAGACTGTGACAATCATGAAGCCACTGCCAAGGTGTCCTTCCAGACCGACGAAAACGGCTTCGTGTTCAATCCGTGCTGGATAGACAGTCTTGGGCATATTGCTGGATTCATTATGAATGCCACCGATGCTACGCCTTCCAAAAAGCAGGTTTTTATTAACCATGGTTGGGAGCGTATGCGATGCGCCGTGCGGTTTGACAAAGGCAAGCAGTACCAAGTGTATAACCGAATGCAGCTGGAGACGGGGACAACTTACGTGGGTGACACATACATCTTCGAGGGTGAGACTGTAGTGGCAGTGTACCAAGGAATCCGAGTAGGTAACCACATACTCTGAATTTAAGATGGTGTAAATAGCTAATGTGTGTAGTTCCAAGGGGTCCCTCGACGACTTCTCGACCGACTACTGCCGCCCAAGATGCAGTCGCGCCTTGCAGACAGGAATCAGGAAGTGCAGCCCACAACAGCGCCGGTCAACAATCAACCGGTGTGCCGAACGGCTGGTCGTCCATCTGTACCAATAGTTCCAGCTCCAAACCCCAAGGAGCCGGTAGGTTCGTCGGGCGGCATCGCAGCGCGCGTGATGGCCATCATTGCCAAGGAAGCGGGCGTCCATCCATCAGACTTGGGAGCTAATGAAGAGTTTGCCAACTACGGGATTGACTCGTTGCTATCGCTGACCATCTGCGGTCGTATTCAAGAGGAGCTGGATGTTGATGTTCCGGCTTCGTTGTTCGTAGACTATCCCACTCCTAAGGATCTGATCGGTTTCTTTGGGGTGGAAGATGACTCTTCTCAGCTCACATCCTCCTTGGAAGGGAGCACCGAGGATGACACATCGAGCTACGAGACGGTTGCAACATCAGAGCACGAGTCGGATGGGTCTGTATTGGAGGTTCTCCGGACAACGATCGCCCAGGAAGCGGGAGTATCAACCGATGAGCTGACACCGACCACGGCGTTCACTGATATCGGCGTGGACTCATTACTCGCTCTTACCATTGTGAGCACCATATCAGAGACATACGACATAACCCTGCCTTCTAATATATTAATGGAGAAGGAGAACCTGGAAGAGGTCGGAAAGGCACTCGGTCTTGAAGTGAATCCGAAGACTTCCCCACAGCATTTAGTGCTTCCTAAGCCCGCTTTCCATCCATCTGTTGGTCCGCAAGCCACTTCCATCTTGCTGTGGGGTAAGCCCAAGACAGCCAGAAAGATACTATTTCTCTTTCCCGATGGATCCGGGTCAGCCACATCCTACTCCGCTCTTCCGAAGCTTGGCAACGACACAGCTGCGTATGGGTTGAACTGCCCATGGATGAAGACACCGCAGCAGATGACAGTCAGCCTCGAGGAGCTGACAGCAAAGTACCTTTTGGAAGTACGTCGACGTCAGCCGAATGGCCCATACTACTTGGGCGGTTGGTCCGCCGGAGGAATTTGCGCGTACGAAGCTGCCCGCCAGCTTGCGCAAGACGGTCAGACTACGGCCAAGCTCATTCTTATCGACTCACCTAACCCAGTCGGTATGGAGAACCCCCCAAAGAGAATGTACGACTTTTTCCAAAGTATCGGACTCTTCGGGACCAGTGGCAAGCCACCACCTGGTTGGTTGATCCCACACTTCAATGCCTTTATCCGGTTGCTGGATATATATCGGATCAAACCACTTGGAGCGTCCATCGAGACTCACATGGTTTACGCACGCGACGGAATCTGCAAGGATGCTAGTAGCCCTCGGCCGGAGCGCCGGCCAGATGATCCGCGTGAGATGGTCTGGTTGATTGAGAACCGGACGGACTTTAGTGGGGATGGGTGGGCATCGCTGTTGGGAAGAGAAAACCTCCATATCGAGGTCCTGAGCGACGTAAATCATTTCTCGATGATGGAGTCGGGGGAGCATATGGAAGCGTTTGAGGGGTTTCTTTGCCGGGCTTTGCTGTAGGAATCCCAACCATGAATCTCATAGGAGTAGATAGGCATGGATAATGCTGACGGAATACCCTCGCTGTTGTCATGATATCTGGTGACTTTCTGAATCAAACCTCTCTTTGTCGCACTGCATACGTTAAGCTGGTTTCCCCCCTGTCGCTGACTTGGCATGGGCTGATGGCACAAAGACCGCCAATGAAGCGGGACGTCCTTGCGTATTGGCAGGGACATTGATCCAATCTGGTGAGTTCCTTCGGATGCCGAGAGCGCGCAAGCCCTGCCATGGATGCCAATTCTGCCCTGCGCTGTGTAACGAGCTATTGTAGTATAAAACCGGTAGCAGTTTATTTCCAATGACTTGCACTTACACTTCTCATACTACATTAGCATCTAATGGAAGTTATCATTAGTTAGACGAAACATGTCTCTCACCGACCTCGCAGCTCGAATCACCGCCAACGCCCAGCTCCTCGATGCTCATCTGCAGTTACACAGCCTGCCATCCCCGTCGACATCTACCAACGCATCCCTGGACTTCCCCAACCCGAACAATGACCCGGCCGTGGAATCAGCCCGCATAGCCATTCTCGAAGACACTCAGACCCTGCGCAACTACGCCCTCGGGCCAGCGCAGGTTGTCCGCGAACTATGCTGGAGTGTATGCTATATCCTATTCCACTCGCAATGACCCTACTAACAACAACATATAAACAATAGACAATAGACCTAGCAGTCCAACAAGTTCTCTACCACTTCTCCATACCAACCTTAATTCCATTGAAGTCCAGCACCAGCTACACCACGTTATCCTCCCAAACTAATCTCCCAGAACGAACCCTTCGACTCCTCCTCCGCCAGTCCTTCCTAAATGGTATCTTCCACGAACCGGAACCAGACCGTGTCGCGCATACGGCGTCTTCAGCCGCTCTTGTGATGAATGCGCCATTCTATGATTGGTTTGGGCATTCGGTGGAGGAGGTATTCCCCACTAGTGCGAAGCTTGCGGAGGCGTTGGCGAAATGTAGTAAGAGCGGGATAGAGGGAGGAAGAGCGGAAGATAGTGCGTTTAGTTTGGCTATTGGTGGTGGTGAGAGCGTGTTTGAGTTCTTTGAGAAAAGGCCTGATAAGCAGAGACGGTTTCGGGGTGCGATGGAGGCGGTGGGTATGGATGGGGGTCATGATTTGGGGTTTGTGGTTGAGGGGTTCGACTGGGGGAAGTTGGGGAGGGGGGTTGTTGTTGATGTAAGTCCCTCCTTTGTCTTCCTACTACTCTACTTTCGGATGATAACTGATGGGTGCGTGCTTTGTAGGTAGGAGGATCCTCTGGCTTCCTGAGCATTGCTCTCGCGAACGCATACAAGGATCTCTCCTTCGTGGTGCAGGACTACAAACATACCGTTGATGAAGGGCGTGCGGCACTACCTCCTCATCTGAGTGAAAGGGTAACCTTTCAGGCTCATGATTTCTTCGCTCCGCAGACTGTGCCCGGCGATGTGTTTCTCCTTCGTCATGTCTGTCATAATTGGTCTGATGAGAATGCGGCGCGGATTCTGCGGAATTTGGTCCCTGCTATGAAGAGTAGTAGTCGGATTTTGTTGGTTGAGGTGGTGACTGTTCGTCCGGGGGTCGTGAATCGGGTGCAGGAGAGGTATATGCGGTGAGTAGGATCCTCGTCCTTTTTGGATTTGCTAATGGGAGTGTGCTGACTTGGACAGAAATGTCGATGTCACCATGTTGCAGATGCTTAATACGCAGGAGAGGAGTAGGCAGGATTGGGAGGGTGTGATTGCTGCGGCGGATAAGAGACTGAAGGTTCTGGGGATTCGTAGACCGGAGGGGAGTTGGGATTCGATTATTGAGATTGGGTTTGTCGTTATGAATGGTCATGCTTAGATGCATGGCGCTAGTTGGGGGTGTATCTACTGCATTTAGATACCTTTTTAGTTTTCATGCTGTTTTCGTGAGGGTTGACCTCGTGTTATTTTCTGCGACAGACAAAATAGTATATATGAAGAATCGACTACGTAGGAGACGCCATAGTCATTCCATCACCATCAGTCTACCGACCCATTCGCCCCTTCATCCGCTATCAATTCACCTAGTACTCAATCTTGAGTGGACATTTCCTCAAATATCCCTCCAACGTAGTCAACTCCCCCCTCGCCTGCTCCGCCGACCACTTGACCTTCTCCTCCGTCCCATCCCCATAATACCCAAAGACCCTGAAAAGCGTAAACATATCCACAATATGATCCCTCATCATCTCCGGCAAAAACCCCTTCCAACTCTCCTCCGGCACCTCACGATACACCACCGTCTTCCCCGACACGCGGCTCATAGTCTCCACTATCTCCTCAAAAGTATACATCGCGGTAGCACAGCAAAGTACTTTCCCCTCATACTGATCGAAATCCGCCAGAATAGCTGCTACCCACTTCCCCAGATCATCATCCGTATCTATCAACGGCAGCTTCACATGAGGTGGAACAGGCAAAAGCAAAGCGTATTCACCATTCTCCATGCGTCGCGGAGCCATGGTCTCATGGAAATTCGACATGAATGAGCCTGGTGCGACGAAGGCGCTTCGGATGGGTTGCGTACGGATGTACTGCTCGACTTCCTCTTTACCGTCGAAATGTCCACCGTTTTTTAGCCATTCTTGGGAAATCTTTGAGATGCTGGGAAGCGTGGAGTAGATGTAGTAGGGCACGCCCACTGCGACCGCGGCGTCGATTAGGGCGCGGCCGTGTGTGACTTCGTGCTCGTAGGTGTGGCCGTCGTAGGTTGTTGGGGTGTTTGCAAACACGACGTGTGCGCCTGTGAAGGCACGTTGGAGTGATTCAGGGTCATCGAAGTCTGCTGCGACGATTTCGATGCCTTTGGATATTAGGGATTGGGATTTTGGGCTGTTGAGGTCGCGAGTTGTGCCGCGGATGGTATACTCCTGGCTTAGTTTGGGGTCGGAGATGATAGCGTCGATGACGGAGCTGCCTTGTTGGCCGGTGGCGCCCACTACCACTAGGATCTTGGACATTGTGGTTGAGATGGTCTGGCTTACTTTGATTTTGTTGTTGCTGGGAGTTGTCGCTGCAGGTGGTGGCGCACGAGTCCTCGCAATTTGTAGGGGACAAAGGAGTCGCTCGTATTCTCACGGAGACCGAGCAGCGAAACTCTGCATCTCGGAACAAAGAACGGAGTCCGAAGATGGTCAGTGTGTGATATTCAAATATCCCTGTATACTATGGATCTTGGGATTTGCTCGTTAAGTCCGGCCACTAAGTCCGGCCGCTGGTATCATGATGTTGATCTTGGCGCCGTATTCTTGATACTCCCCGAAAGCATAATCCTTTCTTTGTGAAGATTTTATGGCTGTCGATGACTTTGGCTGTCCTTGGTTCGCTGCCACGGTTACATTTGAGTAGTCATCTGGAAAGTCTGGGGATACCGTTATGATAAGCAAATCCGATCGATTTGCTTCTTCGGAGTAAGAGAATACTGTCCGCATATATTCTTGTCACCGCAGACGCCATGCGTAGAGGGATCTGCTGCATGATCAATCGATTTGGCGCCGCCATTCACAACACTGAGGCGGAGAACAACTCCGTTGGTAACGGATAGACTATAGAATATATCGTTCTGGCATCTGAAAGGTGGCACGTATGGTAGTCGACTTGTAGTATGGTTGCATGCATTGAGATCCGGTTTATATACATACCCCCAGAGCTGGTATTCTGATCTTGCCATATATTACAGACTCGGATGGTCACAACAACCAGGTAAAGAGTCTTGCATCTCGTATCGCATTCTTTTAAACATGCGATTTATCCTGAACTTCATACTGTGCGCATAAGCCGCTTCGAGAGGCGACAGACCTCGGATTTTCTTGGCTATGGTTCTTCTGCTATCTCAGCGCATGTTAGTTTATCGGAATACCACATGAAAGGACCTGGTCTACTGTAAACCTTTACGATATCCAGGCAATATAATTTTCGAAATCTGAAAGGAATAGCCCCCCTTCTAATTGTCAGGATGCCATAACTAAGTACTATTATCAGGGCGAAGAAAAATATTTAGACTGGATGAATATAATCCGCTACCGACAACGAACATTGCATAGGGCAGAGTTTGATTGATATATATCTAAATGAGTCATGAAGCGCCTCTCCCTGACCATGGAAAGAAACAAGGCAATACATATAAGGATAGGCTTGCCGGGCTTTAAGACAAGTACAACCCAAAATATAACACAGTGGGCTGCGCTACGGTATTCACATCTCAGGAATGTGGAATTTGGTAGCTAGTGTGCTTCGGCAAGTAACCCTCCTTTCGCCATAAATCTGGTTGGTAGAGCGAGTCTCATCGACTCTAGCACAACGATGGGATCTATCTGGAACGTTTACATGTAGCCTATGTCAGTGCTTCCTCCGCCCGACAAAGGCTGAAGCTAGTATGCAAGTAAACATGCGCGGAATTAGAGCTAGACTAGACTTTCATGTCAAATAGGACAACTCTTTCACATGCTACAAATGTGTTAAGTCGCCTGCAAGTCTGGAGTGACAATCGCGGAATGACAAATCAACACCATGACAAGCCTATATTTATCGCAGCCCCTCTGTCAGTCACCGGTTGGTGGCCAATAATCCGACGTCAGTTTCCGTGATTGTGTTGTCGCCTTGACCAATAAGCTGCGATGCTCAAAATTTCCCGAAGCGGCAGACTTCCAAGCCCTTTTCGGTTGTCATATGAAGCACATATCACTTGTGGATTCGTGGAGTGCGCCTGTTGTGATCCTTCGGTGTGGCTGCGAGGCTTACTGCATGCGTAACATGAGCGCCTGTTAGCCCGCCCCGTTAAGGCTCTATGGGGATTTCTCTGCTGTATTACTTCAGAGGGGTTATCAATCGTCCTCAAGAGTTTAGTGAGCTTGTTCTGTTGCACGCAAATACTTTCCGGTCTTCCCTTTAGGCGAACTTGGATACCGATAACACGGACTAGGTGCTCGTCAAAGTGGTATATCTGCATCTCCCGAAATGCTCAGTAACTAGGTATAGAGAAATGGACCTTCACTCTCATTGGGTATTTTTTGCACTGCAGGTGGAGTCGGTCTATGTCGTGACTTATTTGGATTTCCCGACCATTGAGTAGAAGGGGGCTTCCCTTAGTGCGGTCGTTGTAAACCTGGCCTAACACTCTTCCAACTATTTCGTCCACGATCGGTCTGTCGTGGGGGTGAAGGCAGATTGAATAGTTGCGGAAATGTGCAGGTGGCAGGGGATGCTCCGCCTCGCCCCTTTTCCATCGTTGCTAATGCAGTCCAGCGAATTGTCCTCGTGATATCTCGATAGGCCCGTTGACAACCGAGAGACTTTGCGCTAGCATGACTACCTGCACGTCTGATAGGGCGCTTATCTAAGGTTCTCGACGTTATCATCGTCGCTGCTGTGGCTAGCGTTGTGCGTTCATAGCAACTTTTAGTCCCTACAGTACGTGTTGCAATTTTAGCCCTGACCTACTGGTGTGAAAATGTAGACCAGTCACACTGTGTATCCTAGTTTGATGTTACGCATAGCTTCTAGACATGTCTTTTTGACTGCTGGATGAATGACTGTCCCTGACATTAGCAGTATGCCCGTATCCCTTTCTTACCCTGACCCACGTGGTTGTTATTTGAATGGCGCGTCATCCTTGCAGCACATCAGCCCAGATTGCAATCCGACCGGGGTTACTGACAAATAATGGAGTGATAGAGGGACTACCTATTCATCACAAGAATGAGCTTAGCCATGAGAATAGAGGTAGTATAGGGAGCATGGGTGCCTCGGGTCCGAATCGACTATCACTGACCGCTATCATCGGACTCTAGATACGGTCGCATATGAGATACACCAATGAGTCCATGGCAACCTTCGTGACCCAGGCTGATCCAACCACTGCAAGTGACGTAGGCGTCTTGAAGAAGATGCATCGGAGAGGGTTCGGTTTTGAATCGCGATGTTAAGGAACTGGTGGGGTACGGAGAGCATCCTATAATTGGGGATAAATGGGGTAACTCTGTAGAGTTGCGTGGACACTCGGTTCAGTATGATCCATCCAGGATTGTTTCCCATCCTTCAAGGCGATAGGCTCAGCGTATTAGTGCTAGGAAAGACGTAGACTTCATGGGGAGGAAACGAGAAAAGAAGAGAAAAGACAGTGCGGGCAGATGAACGGGTCGGGCCGGAGTCCCTCTTGTTTCCTCTCCACCGCGTGATCCCCTCCTTCCCTTTTGCCCTCCTTTTGCCTTGCCATCCTTCCATCCTTCGTCTCAACAACTTATTCGCTGCAGCCACACTCCCATTACCACCAACGCGAACCCTGCTGGTCAAGGCGCGCACGGTCGTCCATTAATTCCAGACCCCACCACATGCAGTCCAGATAGCTGATGTCCTTCCCATGTCAACAACGAATCCTGTCCTCTCCCGAGAACATAGCCGGTTGTTGGGAAGCCGTTATCATGGAATTTAGCCGACATGATAGTCATTGTGATGACTCTGACAGAAGTGTCCAGGGATTTACTGCTGGGGAGTGCTTGAAGGTCGCATCCCCCGTCAGACTGATGAGCAATCCCCCGGTGCGACAGAGCCTCATCCGAACATTCTTACATGTGAACAGAGATAATCAGATTGACGGGTTTCTTTGCAGGTAAGATTAGGTCTTGGCTCTTCCTCCAGGACGGCAAGCCAGCGCGAGGGAGTATGGCTGAGCCTCGAGATGACGCCGTGAGGGGATGCCACCCTCCCCCTCCCTCAAAATTAACCAGCGCGTTGCTCGTGCGCTATCTGCGACAGAGTTTGACTAGTATGCTCGAGTCCACGCGGTTGCGGATAGCGCAGCCTATGCTGCCTTCCGGAGAAACTTGACTTCGGATCGCTAACAGCATCCACCAATCCTATTGGCTGGCAGCTCACACTGGAGTGTGCGTAGATTCAATAATGTCTTTGTTCGGCCTCCATGAGAACGAACAAACCTATTCCATGTCCGGGTCTTACCATGAAAGGTAGGACTTGATCGATTCGCTGGTCTAGTAAACTACTGTGGTTCGTTGATCAGCGCGTGGCATTGTCGATCGCATCCAGCTGGTCTAGTCAATCCGGTTTGTAGAGAGCAGACTGGTGTGATGGGACACGAAGAAGGGTGTCCTTCAGCCAGCCCAGTCCTGCTTATCTGAAGTCCTTTGGTGGCGAATTCGGGGTTACCATCTCCGATGATAACATTGTTGGCTTGAAGAGACGATCGGTTGTAGCCGCCAGCCATGGACCGTCAGGTTTGGGTAAGATGCCATGACGGGGCCGTTGTTGGAAATGGGGCGATGAGGGTTCAGGGATTACGCAGCGGATGTGACTGGGACCTGCAGCAGAGGCCGTGCAAGGGAAACTTTTTTTGATCTGCTGTGAGGGCGGCTTGCAGCGACCTGACTGGGGGAGAGAAGGGGACAGGGTAGCACGAACCATGGGGCGTGAACAGGCCGTTCGTGTTAGCTTGAGGCTGACGGACGAGAGTTCATCTGACAGCATCATGGGGGTCGATCAGAGCGTCTAGTGCTTCCTAGTGGCTCTCGACCACAATACCCGTCCGGCCTGTAGGGCACCACTCACTAGCCATCACATCTCAGCAATGGCCCGTTCAGGCACCGCTCGGCGCCAGCTCTGTCCTTCACTTCCTCTAGACCGAGAGCTGTATCTCAGTAGAGCCCTTCACCTAGCCCCCATTCATCATGTTTCCATTTTGAGCAAGACGAAAGCTGATGTTGGAGTTGGACAGGGTTTTGAGATAATGATTTGGCATGCTCCTTTCCTCATCTGTCTATCTTCACCCCTCCTCGTCACTCTCAAATAATTGTGCCTGTTTGTCTATATAACTCCTGTGGCCCATCGCTCTACGACAAGTAAACTGGACTATTGAGTATCCCGATTCTGTCTTCTATACTTCCTCAGCCATACTCATCCTTCCACCTGTCCAGATATTTGGTCACAACATTCTTTTTCTATTTACATAAGATATACAAGATGAGCACCATTTTGGATACCTTCCCTGAATACGCCCAGACGACATCTCTTGATCATCTGCGGGAGACCCAGTATAGCTACTTGGACGAACGGGGTCACACATATCTCGACTACACCGGTTCTGGTCTCGCTGCCAAGGAACAGTATCACGCTCATAAAGCACGCCTCTCGGAGCAGGCCTTTGGCAACCCGCACTCCGTCAGTCCCACTAGCGAGAACTCCACCCGACTCGTCGAGCAGGCGCGCGCCCATGTACTTTCCTATCTTAATGCCTCTCCCGACACATATACCGTCATCTTCACCCAGAATGCTACGGGAGCAGCGCGTCTTGTTGGCGAATCCTACCCCTTCTCCCGGCAGAAGCAGTTCATCTTGACGGCAGACAACCACAATTCTGTAAATGGAATCCGGGAGTACGCTCGAGCAAAGCATGCACGCACAGTCTATGTGCCTGTGCAGTCCCCGGAGCTCCGAGTCAGTCCGGCTACTTTGGCATCAGTCCTCGGCGGCCACTGGTGGGAGTGGGGACGAGACCGACTAGCATTGACCAAAGGAGGCCGTCCGAACCGTGACCGGGGACTATTTGCCTATCCAGCCCAGAGCAACTTTAGTGGAGTCCGCCATCCTCTCGAATGGGTGACATTGGCTCAACAATGTGGCTTTGATGTGCTCCTAGATGCTGCGGCATACCTGCCTACCCAGAAGTTGGATCTGTCTCCCAAGAACCCCCAGCCCGACTTTGTCATGGTCAGCTGGTACAAACTCTTCGGCTACCCCACTGGTCTGGGCTGTCTGATTGCTCGTCGCGATGCTCTTAGTCGCCTCTCACGGCCCTGGTTCTCCGGCGGGACAGTCAAGACGGTGGGGGTAGCGCTGACCTGGCACGTCATGGCCGCCGACGAGGCCGGGTTTGAGGATGGCACCCTGAATTTCCTGTCCATTCCGGATGTCCAAGTGGGTCTGGAATGGCTGGAGCGCGTGAACATGTCTTTGATCTCCACCCGAGTGCGCTGCCTTACGGGCTGGTTCCTCCAGCGGCTGCTCGAACTCCGTCACAGCGACGGTTCCCCAATGGCCGAAGTTTACGGGCCCACCGACCTCAAGCGTCGCGGCGGTACCATTTGCTTCAACTTCCTGGACGCCAAGGGAGATATTGTGGATGAGCGGATTGTGGGGCAGGAATCAGCAGCTGCCTCGATCTCTCTGCGCACTGGCTGTTTTTGCAATCCGGGGCCTGCAGAGAAGGCTTTACGGATTGATACGCGGCCGCTGCGGCGCGTGCGACGTCGTCTCCGCAAGGGCCTAATTCCGATGGACACCTACATCAGCATTGGTCGTCTTCCGTCGGGAGGGGCCATCAGGGTATCGTTTGGCGTGGCCTCGAATACAGCAGATGTAGATCGATTTTTCAACTTTGCTACCAAAACCTACCGGGACCGGGTGCCTGATACCAGTGGACTTAGCCCGCGTGATGGGTGCTAGCGGGGTATGAATGTGGATGTGTACATGTTTATCGAGCCATCTGTTGTCGTAATGTTCTGTGTATAGCTGTCATACAGATTCTAGTGTTTAGAGTAACGGTGTTCTCATTGGTCTTTGCACTCCTGCACTATTGATCGTGTTCCCTGCTAGGGCGAGTTCGTCTTACTAGGACGGGGACCAATATTTGGGTCATCGTAGTCTCACCCGGTTAAACGCCCCCCACGCATGTGAATCTGTCTTAGATCGGCTATCTGGCCGGTATGGACTAGCGATCTCACTATGCTTGATGCAGACGAACGAAGAGGGGCGCGGATGGTTCGGGGCCGAGACGAATATAGGGCACCTCGAACCGGGGGGGCAGCAGCTAGTAGGGCACGATGGTGCTCCTTCGGTCTGGGACTCCGTCCAATCAGCTCATCTATCTAGCATATCCGGGCTAGCTGAGACCAAGCCAAGGATCCTGAACAAAGCTACTGATGTGATGAAAAAGTGAGTTCCTGTTCCTCATCCCTCCTCTATAATGCACAGCCACATATTGATCGACATGCGCCACAGCCTCGTGGGCGTTGCTTTTTGCTGCTGCCGATCCTCTCGATCGCATCCGCTGCGACCCATGATGTGATTTACTTTGCGTTGCATGAACCCATGTCTTTCCCTTCCCCACTTGAGTGAACCGGTTTCGATCTGGTTCTTCCATCATCGGGAGGGGTTGAACCCCGAGGGTCCCCCGAAGGATCTGAGATTCGATATTTTGTGGCGGTGCTGGGTATCGACGATCCCCTCCTCCTCTATCTTGCTGATGCAGGGATAATTACTCCATCCCGCTGCTACCTTGTACTTTTTGATCTTCAGCCCTGACACATGTCTTACATGCTTGCTTGCTTGCTTGTCCAGTTTAATCTATACGGAGTAACTCTCTCAGCTGTCCAGCACTCCATCAGCTCAGCCCTTTCACTTCCCTGCTGACCCACCATGCCGAAACGGGGCATCGGTCCCTGCCAAGACCTGGCAATGGCTTCCTTTTCTCCTGCTGGGCGCTGGTTCCCGATCCCCCGATCGAGCGCTTCGCATGTAACCTGCTGGTGTCTCGGGGGATCATCGGGTATCAGCTGTCAGCCGCAGAACATGCAGCTCGCAGATGATGAACGAGTAGATAATCTTGTGCGGCTATTTATGCAGTTTGCTGCCTTCGTTGCCTAATACCCGGATTGCCTTTGTTGCCTTCGCTTGCAGGCCGTGATCCTCGGATACGAACTATCCGTGTAGCCTCGACGCGTCAGCTTGGAGGTATTGGCGGTTCGTGCGCGTGTGGATGGCTGAGGTCATGGTCTAGGTACTGTGGCAATCTTTTCTGCGGCTGAGACGGCATCTTGTCCTATGAAGTATTGTTATCATGGGTAAGGTGTCTAGTCTCCCTGGTAGACATATAATATAGTATATTATACTCCTATCCCTGAGTGATATTATGCCAATGCTAAGGCTTCTACAATCTTAGTCGTAGTCAGTGAGTGGTCCGTCAGACCGAACATGATACCCTAACCCGCCCGACATGCTTGCGGGAAGACACCCTTTCACGTTGTCCATATCTATCGTCCACCCTCATCGATGCATTTCTCAATCAGCTACATCTCAATATACAAAGATATCATATCCATAGCATGCCAATCTTCCGTAGACCCTCGTTCGATGCTAGATCGTATAAGGAGCATCCCCGTTCCCCACCGCAGTTTCAGAAGGTTTCATCTAGAAACACCCGATATTAAGCTTAACCTTTTATAACCTGACCCCGATCCCATGCTCTTTTCCACACTGTAACTTCCTTCACACCTGGCGTGTTCTTCATTCATTCATACATTCTTGACTATTCAACTTCGTCCACTCTTTCAGAAAAACATATAGTTAAAATGTTCACCCCAACCACCCTCCTCCCCCTTCTCGCCTCCTCAGCGCTGGCGCTGCCCGCCCTCACCACTCGCGCCCAAACGCAAGCCTCCACCTCCCTCTGCGGCGACTACGACTACATCATCCTCCAGGACTCGCCATGGATCGTGTACAACATGCTCTACAACGCCGACGAGATCGTCGGTACCCAGTGCACTGACTACGGCGAGATGACCACCTCCACGAACGGCACGAAGGAGGTCGTTTGGAGTAGTGTGACTGATATTGAATATGTGGAGAGCACGTACGCACCCACGCCGTTTTTCCCCTTATTTCCATCTCATGACATGAGCATCGCTAATGAATGTACAGCAACAATGTCCCTAAGGGCTACTCCTTCGTCGGACTAACCCAGAACCTGGAGACCAAGATCTCGGCCATCGACTCCATCCCTGCGGAATATACCTGGTCGAGGACGAATTCTACTGCCTTCAAGGGTACTTACCTTACCTTCCCTCACCCCCAAACCCACCATCCTGATGATCAAAATACTAATAATAATCATGGAATGGTACAGGCAACGTCTGCTTCGACTTCATCACCTCCCCCACAAAGGGCGACTCCACCTCCACCTCCGCCCACGAACTCATGCTCTGGCTACAATACGAAGGTGGACAGCTCCCTATCGGCTGGACCAACGGGGCCGTCGCCACGATTGATAACCTCTTCGGCACGTCCTGGAAGCTGTACGAGGATGTGAATGAGGATTCGGGCGTTACTGTGAGCTCGCTGTTGCCTGATACCCAGTTCGAGGGCTCCTTTGAAGGTGATCTCAAGGAGTGGTTGTTGGAGTTGGTGCAGTTGGGCAAGTTTACGAAGGAGGCGTATGTTAATGTTGGGAATGGAGGGTGAGTTTATTCTTTCTTTTGAAATTGGATGGAGAGATGCTGATAATCGGGTGTAGTACTGAGTTCTTTTACGGTAACTCGGTTATGAATGCTACCTTGGGATTGCAGATTAACCTGGATTAAATTAAATCCAAGGGGTGTATTGGAGGGAGACTCTTGTGGGATGGATGCACTTCCATTTTGTTAGAGTGTTGGGGCTTGCATTTTGGATTTATTAACCTTCGGGCTGGACACTATGGCTAGTCTTGTGTAACCATGCAATTGTCATATATTTACCCTTGACTGAAGTCTAATCGCAAGTGCTTAACTTAAATGTTAACCTCATTGCGTAGGCTGCTTATTGTAACACAAAATCAATAGTTGCTCAGCAAACGGGTGTTTTTTGCGGGTTATTTGGATAGATCAAGTATCATGCTCATGGTTTAATCTGCTATTCTTTGTAAGTAGAACCAACAAAAGAGAAACTTAACAAACACAATAGATAACAATTGAGTAAGTTGTTGTAGTAGATTAGACCCCCTTATACATCATTGCCAACAACACCATATTATCCCTCTCTAGTAATATCTGAAAGAAGAAGTTGTCACGTGCAAGAATATCCATCAAAGATTAAATTAACATATATTCTTTCAGCCTATTACCATCTCATCAAATTACTACCTCCGTGACCTCATCATCAGTATATGTCTTAACCCAATTCATCATGGATATATTTCCATTCAGACGAGAGATGACAAGTGGTAAAAGAGGAGGCTAGCCCTTCATTATGATCATGAAAGGACTAAATTTCTATAAGAATAGATGAGACGATAATAAGAACCAACTAACAAAGACTCTTATGACCGTAGACTAGCATCGGAACAAATCCGTGGCCACGCTGACTTGATCGGTTCGTTCCAGAATGTCGTAAAGTTACTCGGCTTGGCCGTGTCGGAAGTTTGCCCCCACGATGAACCACATTTTGGTTGAAGAGATTAAGTTCGCGGGGAAATGTCATTACGTTTCGTGCCGTGGGGTTATTTCTGGATGGGACAGTTGCTGGATGAGATATTATTGTTTATTGATTGTAGACGCTGTTCCTCACTCTCACAGAATATATACGTGTAAAGTTAAGATGTTTGTCGAAGACTGCAATTCACATTCTGATAGCATAAACATAACATCTAAAGCACGAATCATCTAACTTCTACAACTCATTCGTTCTATTCCCAATCTACACGGCATCTGTAGGCTTACTCCCTCCACGATTCGACCGCTCACCCCCAATCTCCGGCAATGCAAGGGTAGTAAACCTTTCCATATGATTTGCAACGTGGGGATACAGCGAGTCAGGACCACGATTCTTGTAGATGAGCTTTCGAGGGCACAGCGGGCACTGGCTGGGGACCTCTAGCCGGGTGGTCGGTGTCGAGTTCTTGCTCTTGTTCCGATGAAACGAAGCAAGATGCTTGTCAAGATCTTTCTTGTTTGTGAACTCGCAATTATTGCAGGACTTTCCCTGAGAAAGGCAGAGATCACACACCCAGTGCTCGACGGTCCCGAAATTCTCTTCGAGATGGGCTGTTAGTTCAACCACGTTCGCGAATTCCTTCGGGTCTTCCTGCTTGCAGCATGACCAGAGACAGGTGAATGGTAGAAGATCGTGGTTTACATGTTCGCTATTCGAATAGTTAGCTGATAGATTCTTCTCTTGTTGTCGGGTCCTAGGGGTTGGTTGGAAACTTACTACCAGGCTGTGCGCTCTGAGTCTGCCTCCAAGAGCATATCACCGCAGTATGGGCATTGGAATGTGCGCTCCTGGCCCTCGATGGGCTTTGGACAAGGAGCCTTAGACCAAGAGGCAAGCTTCAACTGCCTCATTTCATCGGTGGATGGCAGCTGGGGTTGGAATACATTTGCCGGCGGGTTCTCGGATAGAATGTCCTCTCCGTTACCGTCTCCAGTGCCACTTGCAGCCCGCGCGGTGGCCCGCTTCTCCGCTGCTTTTCGCGACAGGCTCAGCCGGTGGTGTCGGCGGAGTATGACGTAGATTAAGCGGTGGACTTGCTGTCGATGATCCTTTTCAAGATAAGCCAGTGCAGGTTTACCGCTGGGTAAGCCTTCACTAGCTCCTGCTTTGTACTCGGGGAAGTCGATAGAGTATCCTTGATGGTACTCCCGGATAAGATGCTTCTTCAAGCTGCGCAGGCCCTCAACATCCACATCACGGTAATGCTTATGATCGGGGTCATCCAGCTTTTGATAGTCCACGTACGTGAACTTGGCCTTGGCTTCATAGTCGCGGGCCTCATTATAAAGATCTGCCATTCTTTCTGCGAGTAAACCGAGCCTCTCAAGACTCAGCTGGGCTTCCTTTAGCTTTTCGGTAAGTTTGGGCTCCCCCTCAGGCCTCACCGGCCGTTCAATTTTAGGGCCAAACTCATCCCATCCGGGTTCTGATGACTCGACAGCTTCTTTGCTCTCATGGGACTGGTCAGCACAGCCTGGAAACAGACACTCCTCAGGCTTCGTGGATGTCTCAATACACTCATCCAGCCCCTCGATCAGCTTTTTCAAACGTCGAACAGCATGAGGTCGGACAAATTCGTCTGAATGCATCCCGCTGTCGTCATAGATCCCGTTGGAGGTGGCGCAGATTCGGAGTTTCTGTCTCCAGTTCTTCTCGAAGATTGTCTTCATCTGTTCTGCCCATTCTCTTAGTGTCGCGTGTTGCAGACAGTCGTTGAGTTTGTGCAGAGCCGAAACGGTCATCTCGCTGACCGACGGGCTCTCCATTATGATGTACAGGCTGTGTATGGGCGATGAAAAACCTTGATGAATGGCAATGAATCAGACAGATGGGTGAAGTCAGCCTGTACTTTGCTCTCTGTGTGTGGAGCAAGGTTGCGCGTCTTATAGACGAATGAGTACATCTTCTTCGCAAAGAGAAAGCCAATCCAAGCACAAAATTGGTGAGGAACAACGGTAAACTGCGAAATGAACAAAGATCAGGACTACACTTAGTTGTTGCATTACTGATTGCAAACATGACTGGATCGACAATGTCTTCTTTGTTATTGTCGATGCAGCCAGTCGTGATTGGTCTATCCTTATCCAGTCCTCGTTTTCAACGGGGGGTTCCCATCAACTTATTATCGGTTAAGCATGCATGAAACATTGTCTGGGGTCACATCTAAAATGAATAATATGGAATACAATGCATGGCGACGACCCGTCTTCGGTTTGTCTGTTGACGGAAGCTGCAGTGGTGGCACGGATTGTGTTTTTATCGTATGCTCATCCCCATTGCTCAGTAGGGATATTTCGGGTATTGGTCCATAGACATGGAACTTTCAATTGTACAACAATGTCGGTGTGTTTTTAGCTCTCGGCTGTGTCTCAAAGGAATTCAACATTTTAATTTATCGTCTTGGTATATCAGCTTTAACTATCTACCCACCGGACCAATGTGTACAAATGCACGCGAAGAAGTTAAGCTGAAGCGTCCCCGCTTGGAGCGGAGGAGAATTACACCAAGGTCTCAGGCTCACGAAGACGGCTAGATCCATGGATGTTGCATCTGGATCATGGCTCTTTCCACGAGCGAGATGATCGCCCAAACCTGTCCATTCGTATTTGACTCTTAACGTTGGGTTAGTCTGCGAATCAGTGGCGCGATTGATCTGGTTCCAATCTGCTCTAGTCACAGCTTCAGGGCTGCACTGTGGTACAGCTGTAGAGTCTGCAAACGTGCCAGAAAGTCGATCTCTCGCTTTATGCAAGGTAAAGCTTGCAAGAGCAAAGCTAGCGACATGACTTCAAAGTGATGGGCCAACTTGTTGGATGTCAAAATCCCTACCAGTAGAAAGATGGCTCGGTCGCAACCAAGAAAAGACACCCACGCCATCTCTTTGGCCCGGAAGGATTCAGTCCGCCGAGCATCCGTGCGTCCCTAGCCAATGAACAATCAGAACATCCTCATTCTCCCTCTGTCCATGATATCATAGCCCCTAAATTGCCTGCGATATTCTTTGCAGATCAATCATTGTTTTTGTGTAGTTGGAGACATCCCGGGTACCGGTGAACTCATTGGACCTCATGTAGGAGTATTTCGTTGGGTTCGAAGATTGGCGATAACTGATTTATCCCAAGATCACGCATTTCTTGAGGCAGGACAATAGGCGGGCATCAGGAGTGGCACAAGAGGAGCATCGGATCTGTCACGGGTAGCCTGGTCCATGGAAATGAGATAAGCGAACCATCAAGTATGCGTGATCCGAGGCGACAGCTGAAGAATAACCAACCAACTAGTAGTTGTAGCCTGAAGGAATGGATGGACACGACGGAGAAAGAACCGAGCGGAATCTTCCTCATCCGCCCGGAAACTGATCCACGTGACACAACCAGCAACATAAGCAGCGGAGATAACAGCCGGCGATAATTCGTCGCACAGTCGGTCTCGGCACATTCCGATGCGCGCAACTCAATTTTACTCTACTCGTATTCCCTTGCCTCTGCCTCGCCACCCGCCCATCTGAGATGCTTCATGGGGCTGGCTGTGCGTCACCTCTCCTAGCCCAAACAGATCATCCCAATTACTTTACCAAAAACTGAAACCATTCTGACACCACTTTTTGTGTGCTTCATTTCAAGCGTGAACACTTCCACTAAGCCATGGATCTCACGGTGATGTCCACACTCTAGTATCTAATATGCCACGTTCAATTGGCAGGCCTTAACTCTTCATACTACCGCTAAAGTATGGATCCTAGGGATGTTCTTCCTTTCCAGAACCATTCCTCCGGTCGAGGACCAGTCTATCTAGCTGGATCCAGTAGAGAGAAGCGGACACGATCCATCGGGCCCGAAACACCCACCGGGAGGCTCAACAAGAATAATATAATAATCAAAGAGAAGACGGCTCGGACTCGGAGGGTGCTACTCCGGTGAAGAGAGAAGAAGGATATTCTATGCCGCCACTGTGATTTGTTGGTTGAGGTGGCGGGTACCTGCAGCACAGGCCGGTTCATTGTTCGCCCGCTCGCTTCTCAACAAGTGTTGCAGAAAGTGGCCACGCACACACACCACGGCACATTCCTAGCGAGATTGCCCCCCAGCAATTTCATGATCAACAGGACTATCAA